CTGCCCCCAGCCCGCCTCCCGTCTGTGCCCCCACACCTTGTGCGTCAACCGATATAAAAGCCCCAGGGAATGAGCGGCGCCCAGCACAGCTGCCACTAACGTCCCGCAGACCAGGAATAGGAACGAGGGGAAGAAGCTCCCGGCAAGGGTGGCGGCCGCAGGCGTCTCCATGAGGTAGCACCTAAATAAAAATAGGCAGTTCTAGTGCCTGGATGCAAACATACTTTATCCATAAAAAGACAAGCCCTCTTCTCCAGAGTTTCGGTGGGGCCCTTTACGCGGCAAGGCTTGGACCTAGACCACGCCCCAAACCACGCCTACTGGGGGGACCAGATCACGGCCCCTCGCGATGAAAGGCTCCCCCTCTTACGCCACCTACACCCAAACTAGCCACCACAATAGCCTCAAAATACTCATTTTCCTACTTACCTGCTTCTCAATGGATTACGGGAAGCCCCTACTCTTTTGCATCAAGGTCCCGAATCTCATCCCCAGAGGTGAGCCCGCCCCACGTCTACGTCACCAAGTACAACGATGCCACGCCCCCAGGCTGACGTGCGCGACCCTCTCCTCAAGCCAGGTCCCACCTCCGAGTGAGCGCCAGAGCCGGAGCCTGACCCCGACCTCAGGCCGCGGAACGAGGCTAAATCACCACGGGATGTCCTTCCAACCTCTGGGGAACTTCAACCTTCATCTACAAAAAATGGCGCTGACTCCAAAGAAATTCGGTGCCTCTCGTGTCACATGACCTGAGCGCGCAGCCCTCCTTTGCCCACTGGCATCAGTAGTCTGGACCGTTGTGCGTGCGCAAAGCCGTAGCTACGCTCCGGGGCTCCTCCTATAAGGTCTGTCTCTACTGGCCGCCTCCTGCACAGGCCCCGCCTTCTCTCGCCTTTCATTGGCTCAGTGTGAGCCTCATGCCCTTCTTTACAGGAGGCCACGCCTATCGATGTCAGCCATTTGCCAAGACCCTCTCGGGCCCACCTTCTGCGGCCTTCCATAGGTCCCACAGTCCCTAGGCCGCTTTCCACGCCAACCGTGCTATACGACCCTTTACGTTGTCTGGGCGTGAATGGCCTGCCTCCTAGCCTACCGTAACCCCGCAAAGGCAGAGGCCGTAGGCCAGCCTCTGTTATTGGCCCCACCCTTGTAGGCTCCACACCCTTCCCGGACGCTTGGGCTTCCTCTGCTCCACGTGCTAGGGAATGAATGCTCCAAAGAACAGTGGTCCTTGGTTCCAGCCCGCGTTCCACCGTATTCCTGCCCATGTTCCACCATATTCCAGCCGTCTGGCTTCTGGGAAATGATCACCCCATTAGTAAGGGGGAGTAAATTCTGGTACCCAACGCCCTGCTTCTGTCCAAGACAAATGCCGCCATTTTTACACTGGTTCCTATTCCTCGTCAACTTTTGGGATTTCCCTCTGAGAATTCCACCCCATCATTAATTTTATCTTCTACCGAATCATTCCTAGGTTTTAATTTAACCCATTAAAAAAAGAAGAAAAACACCATTGGCCCATTCTCTACCTGTTGCTATACCTTTGCTCCTTTTTTTTAGCATAATTTCTCCAATGAGTTACCTGCACTTGCTGCCGCCAGGAACCCCTCCTATTCCTTCTTGAACCCACTCCAAACAGGCTCTTTCCTGCCACTCTCTGAGAGCTGTTCTGGATTATTCCAACAGTCTTCAAATGGGTCCCCTCTCCCATCTGCCTCTCATCCCACACTCTTCCTACAATTAACAATATAAAATGCAAAATTCCTAAAAAAGGCTTTTAAGCCCAATTAAACTCCCAGAGCCAATAATAAAATAGTGATCATTATTTTTTGTCAAGCACTTAACTATGCAAGGGGCTGTCCCATGAACTTTTGATACATTCATTCATTTAATCCTTACATCCCTGTAAGAGAGGTGTGTTATCATTATCACATTTTACAAATGAGGAAACTGAAACACAGGTTAAGGCACTTGCCCAAGGTCCCACAGTTTATAAGAGAAAGAGGCAGAATGTGAACTCAGGCAGAACTGCCCGAGCCCCCAGACTAGGAGCACCTCAGTAATGGGTACTGTGTTTCAATCATATGAATTCCCCATGTCTATCACAGGGTGTAGTGTTTGAGGCCCAACCAGATCCCCTTGTGTTTATGTCAGATTTTATTCTAAATGAGTTGGGAAGCCAGAGGGGATTGTGAACAGCCTAAGTCACACAAAACACAATTGCTTATAGGGGCCTTGTTTGTAGCAGCCAAAAACTGGAAAAACCAAAATGTCCTTCCATAGATGAATGATTAAACAAACTGTGGTCCATCCATACCATGGAACACTACTCAGCAATAAAATGTGTAGGGGTTCAGAATGAGTCACCCCAAGATGTGCCTCTCTGGTATGTGGATTGTTTTGAGCTAAAAGGCAGACAAGATCCTGCAGACAAGAAAAACTCTGCCCCCACTTCTTTTAACTATCTAGAAGAATTGGAAGTAGGCGCCTGCCTTGCCCATAACACAAATTATCAGAAATAACTTTTGGGGACACATCTATAGTGCAGGGCAAACTTCTAATTACTGAACATCTGCTTTTCTTATCATCTTGTGACCTTCCTCCCCTCTAAAGGTGCCTTACTTCATCCTTGGCTTAGAATGTCATATATATTTCATTTTCCCTTTCTGTCCTTAAACCTCCCATGTATGTGGAGTCTCTCTCTCTCTCTCTCTCTCCTCTCTCTCTCTCTCTCTCTCTCTCTCTCTCTCTCTCTCTCTCTCTCTCTCTCTCTCTCTCGTGTATGTGGAGTTCTCATACATATATATGTAATTAACTTGGTCATTTTTTCTTGCTAATCGGTCTCATATCTATTTGATTATTAGACTCACCAAAAGAACCTTAAGGGTAGAGGAAAATTTCCTCCTCCCCATAAAAGACAAACAATTGAAACACACAAAAACTTAGATGAATCTCAAAATAATCATGCTCAGAGAATGGATTTGTGCTTGTCAGGGGCAGGGGTGCAACGCATGGGGGTGAAAGTGATCAAAGGGTACAAAATTTCTGTTGTAAAAAAATAAGGTGTGGGGATGTAATGTACAGAATGGAGACCACAGTTCAGAATACTGTTTGTATATTTAAAAGTTGCTAAGAGCCTGCTAAGATGCAGGATCTCTCATAAGAGAACTTTCAAGTTACAAAAAATTTGTAATTATGTGAGGTAATGGCTGTTAAGTAAACTTATTGTGGTAATTATTTTGCAGTATATACATTTATCAAATTATTATGTTGTACACTTAATCTTATACAGTGTTATATGTCAACTATATCAATAAAACTTGGGGTGGGGGAATTCCCTAACCACAAGCACACAAAAAAATTATGCTGAATGAAAGAAGCCAGTCTCAAAGGGTTACATACTATATGATTTCATTGATATGGTATCCTCCAAGTATGAACACCACAGTGAGGGAAGACAGATCAATGGTTGCCAGAAGTATGGGATATGAATGGGTGCGATGGCCACATCCACAGCCCTTTAAAGAAAGGGGTTTGTACTCTTTTGATTTCTACACCCTTTCCTATATCCTGGGATGTAGATGCAAAGGCTGGAGCTAAAAAAGTTACTTTGGACCAGAAAGGGGAAGCCATGATTTAATTAAAGCAGAGCCACTTAACCAGCTTTGAACCACCCACCTGCAGACAGTTACATGAAAAAAACATAATGTCTATCCAGTTTCAGCTACTGTGTTTTAGGGTCTCTTTGCTATAGCAGCTCATACTATACAATAACTAATATAAAAGTTAATGCCAGAAGTGTGGTTCTGCAATAATAAAAACCTAAACAATGAAGGATTAACTTAACAGTCAGGTAGTAGGTCATGAGGACACAGACACAAGATAGAAAGCTGGCGATCCATGTTCTGTCATGGCAAATAAGTAGGTAAAACTGCAATGTCTTCCATGACAGATTGGGTACCTATTGGATACCACCTCCAGGAAGTGATTGGGAGAAGCCAGACTATTTCTATGTTTGCTACTTCTTGCTACTGTCGAAAGAGCCAGAGAGAGAGAGAGAGAGAGAGAGAGAGGTGAGAAAGACAGAGACACAGAGACTCAGAGAGATAGAGAGACAGAGAGAGATAGAGAGACAGAGAGGGAGTGTATTGGACAATCACTGAGGGAAGAGACCATAATTATACTAAGGTAGCCTCTCGCCATGCAGGCTACAATTTAAAGTGACTGAGTCTGATGATTTGGAGCTCACAGGGGAGAAGTAATACAAAAGTGGCCCTGAGGAGGCAATTATAGCAAGAGATTGGCCCTTTCTCAGCAGCCTCAAGAGAATGCCAAGGTCCAAGCATAGAGGTCAGGAAGTTAATGAGGGCAGCATTTGGATTTAAGGACTATATCAGATGGACATGATGCTAAGTGAAATAACTCAGTTACAAAAAGACAAATACTGCATGATGTACTTAGAGTACTCAAAATCGTAAAGACAGACGAGTAGAATGATGGTTACCAGTGACTGAAGGAGAGGAAAAGGAAAGTAGGGTTTAATGGGGACAGAGTCGCAGTTTCACAAGATAAATCAGTTCTAGAGGTGGATGGTGGTAATGGCGGCACAACCGTGGGTCTGTATTTAATGGCACTGAATCATACACATAAAATGGTTAAGATGGTCAATTTTACGTTATGTGTATTTTACCACAGTAAAAAAATTGGTTAAAAATAAAAGAACTATGTCAGAGAAAATGTTTGGCTGTGGTTTCTTGCATATGGAGCTGCCTAGAGACAAAAAGATGGGATACCTATTGAATTTTGGCAAGAAATCATGATCCTGGACTAGAAAATATTGTGACTGTTTGGCTTAGAACACGATAACCCTAGGCCCCAAAGTCAGACCAGCAGGGATCGCACTGTGAAAGCTTCAGCCAAAGAGGACAGAAGACAGTGAGGATCCTTCCAGAGATCAGAGCCAAGGATCATGGAGGACAATAGACAAAGAACTTACAGCAAGGGGAGGAGCCTTCGTAACTCCTGCCTAATAAAATTTTTTAATTGCTAAGATTCAGCGACTTCTGTGTGTTTCCCATGCTTCCACTGAATTTTTTTTTTTTACTATGGTTTTAACATTTATTTTGTACGTTCAGAAATTTTGTTTCAGTTTGTAGGTTGCCAGACCATGAGAAGCCATTCCAAGGTTTAAAAGACAGATCTTATATTTCAAACTGGATGCAGCGAATGGATGAGTCATTAAGCTATGTCTCGTGGAGTGGGACACTGTCTGTATGAGAAGGAAAGATGCATAGCTATCATGTGACATTGAGTATAGTAGTGGCACCAGTAGATCTGGTTATGCTTATCTAGGGAGGCACCTTCAGGTCTTTTAACGCCAAGGTATCTATAAGACAAATAAATTCTTCTCTTGCTAATATTGACTGCCTCTCATTGCATAACTTTTCTAAATTGAAAGTAAATTAGAAGTAAACTTTTAATTGTGGTAAAATACACATAACGTGAAATTTACCATCATAGCCATATTTAAGTGTACAGTTCAGTGCCATTAAGTACATTTACATTCTTGTAATCAGCGCCATCCTTCACCACCATCCCTCTCCAGAACTTTCTCATCTTGCAAAACTGAAACTTCATCTCCATTAACCCCTCCCTCCAGCTCCTGGTATCCACCATTCCACTTTCTGTCTCTATGAATTTGACCACTCTAGACACCTCATAGAAGCAGAATCATATAATATTTGTCTTTTTGTGACTGGCTTAGTTCATTTAGCATAATGTCCTCTAGGTTCACTCATGTTGTATCAGGTGTCAGAATGCCTTTTCTTTTCAAAGCTGAATAA